AAGACAAAGAATTGGAGGCTACAATCTGGCGATTCCATTATGGGCCATCGGTATAGGCTACAATTGATTCGTTTGAGCCGTGCATTACGAGAAAAACGGCCAGAATACGAGCAAAGACATGACAAAGTTATTCTTCTGCATGATAACGCTCGGCCTCATGTCGCAAAAGTCGTAAAAAATTATTTGGAAACGCTCAAGTGGGATATTTTACCGCACCCGCCGTATTCGCGGGACATTGCTCCTTCTGATTACTGGGTGTTCCGACGGATGCAGCACGATTTGGCAGGTCACCGGTTCACTTCTTTCGCAGAAATCGAAAATTGGCTCCTAACTTGGATCGCCTCAAAAGACGAGACATTTTTTTGGGATGGAATTCGAAAATTTCCTGAGAGGTGGGAAAAAGTGGTAGCTAGCGATGGACAATACTTTGATTAATCTGTTCATTCATTTTGTTCTGAAATAAATGCATTTTTGACCACAAAAAAAACGGACCGAACTAATTTGTACTCCCAATATATATATCTGCTTATAAAATAGAAGCAGTCAGCTTCGCGCTGCTTAGTATATTCTAAGGGTTAAATATAAGAAATACATATATTTATTATTTGAAGTCATAAACATGTTCTCACAACATACAATTACAAATTTACAAATTTAGCTTACAATTCCAAATTTTAATAACTAGAATCTTTGAATCACAATTAAACTTTATATTATTTGGATAGATATTTTTTTCTATATTTTTAAATATTTTTCTTTGCTAGACAAAGAGAGAGAGAAAGAGAGGGGAGAGAGGAAGAGAGAGAGGGGAGGGAGAAAGGGAGAGAAAGAGAAAGATGCCTTTATCATCAATATATTATTAATAATAAATAATACATTATTAATACATTATACATTAATAATACATTATTAATCCGTAACAGGTACCATGGGGGGTCTCAGGGACTCAAATTAATTTTATTTTCATAATAATTCCTAAATTATCCACTGTATGGCCCTAATATCTTCAATACCTTTCGAGTAACAGTTTTCAGTGTGACAAAAGAAAAGATCAAGTTATTTTTAAGTAGCTGTAAATTATATGCATTTGTTTTTCGTCTGGAGTCACAGTGACCCCATTGTACCGTCAATGTTACTTTTATGAAAATAATTTTCTTAATCTTCACCTCAATATGACTCATTCTTCACGCAAAAGAGTAAAAGCTCTTACCTTTCAGTTAGTAAAACCTGAACTTAAGAGACGTCTTACAGCTCGATATATTCATAAGCCATTGCGTTTAATAATTTCGTCTATTTAAAAAATTGAAGAAATTGAAAGATCAAAAATTATTTTGCCATCCAAAGTAAGATGTAATAAATGTCCTAGAAGTCAAGATATGAAGTCCAAAGAAGTATATGTTAGATGCAATAAACCAGTATACACTAAATATGCAAACACTATCTGTAACAATTGCATCTAAAAACCCTCTAAGATTTTAATATTGTATTTAATTTAATAATACTAGTTTATATTTTTAATGTAATCTGTAATTTGTAGACTTAGATTAAAACATAAATTTTTTTCTTTTTCCGATTATTGGTCTTTCAGTGTATTTTATTTCACTGTCCACATTGTGTTCATTTTATAATCAATTAACGTTGTCTTTTAGATTACTGAAAAACTGAGACTGTTATTATAATATGTCTAGTTGTAATATAATATTCGCAAAATATTATTTTCGAACTATAAAGCGTTTTTCTTTCTATTATCATGTTTTATTATCATGTTAAAAATGGTAAAAATTTATTAGAGTTCCCCGGACCCCATTGTACATATAGCTTGACTAAAAAGGCATGCTACCTGTTACGGGTTAATACGTCATTTAACGTCATCACGTTTACTTGAGCTTACACTTCAAAATTAAATAACTTTTGATTCAAGTTTTGAACTCAATTGTTTGTGTCATCTTTAAATGTAATATAAATTTATCTGTAATTTTTTCAACATTTTTTAATTATTTTTGGAAAATATGGGTAATACATCTTTAAATTTTCTCTAAAATATGCTGCGACATACAGTATTATACTACTATATTGTATAACTTTCCTTCTTTCTAAATTCTTTTACCTCAACTTGTTTTCACGCGTTGCATCGTTACGACTGAATTAAACTAAACAAAACACCGATCGGACGTCGTGGCTTTGACTGCGCACGTGCATTAACATCTCAATATAAATAACAGACGAGCGCACGCCTATGTACTATCTCACGAATAGAAAGTTGGGCGGACGTTAAGTAACGGAGAGACGGTGTATATTTTTGTCAGCAGGACTGTACGTAAAAAGCTTAGAGCCCTCGCCGGTGTCGCACCCTACGCGAGGATCACGGTTTCTTCTACTTTAGGATCGGATTACATCAAACAATTACATGCGTAAGTACACACATTTACGCCGTTGCAACTGAATGAACACGATATAGAACACACCCGATCTCAGGAACGTCCGCATCTATTTATACTATGACGTAACTCACAAGTATTATTTTTTATCGACTGATTTAATATTTATCTCTTGATCATAGTTCAAAAATACGGAAACTTTACTTCAAAACACTTTCTATGTGACTGTGTACGTGTGTAGACAATAAATAAAAACCAAAAAAAACATTTAGAAATGAGTGTGTATTTAAGTAGTATTTATATAAAAAACAAAAGAAAAACAAAATCGTAAATAAAAAAATTGTCAAGTAATTGGGACATTGCTTCTTCTTTCAAATAAAAAAACTAATTCACATAATTCACACTAATGTTAATTCTCCTGTAAAAATATTTCCTTACTAGAAATAGAAACATTCTATTAATAGCTAGTTCTTTCAATTTGAGACACTTAATGTATTACAGGTTTTATTGAATAACACCTCTGTTAATCATCGTTAAAAAAATATTTTAATTAAAGCATTTATAATTTTACTTACAAAATGTTTGTACCATGTGATTTTGAGAACAAAAAAGAATGACATGATGAAGAAATTTTTTTTTTATATATTAAATTATTACGAAAACAAAGGATTTTCCATGAATATGGAATTTTCGATTAACGCAAGATGCGAGCATTTCAAGTGAAAAATTATTTGTTACGAGCAGATATTCCTTTATCGATGAAGGTTTTCGCTGAAGATTATATGATAATACGACTTTAGTTCGTTTGTGTGTAGAAAGGCATTTAGATAACGGGACATTTTTTCAGACACAAAGAAAAACAGAAGAATACAATAGCCGTCCGAATTTAGGAAGTAACTGCAACGAGAAATTGTCACTCATGTTATGTTAACGGAAAAATCCGAATTACGTGCGTACACAATTTAGACAAAATGTGTTAAAATGATATCTCTGGCGAAATTCACGCGTACGTCCCCTCGGAGCATCGGACTCGTAGACATGATGCTCAGCGGATGGATGCGCGAAAGCGAATGACGCAAAAGAAAAGAAAGGCTTGAGAGCGAGTGACGACGAAATCATGAAAAACAGAACACAAAAAAATTGCATGCGACTTTACTCACCGTGTGCGTGTGTCGTGCGAGCGTCCAAACGCGAGTCACTAGTTGTCCAGGTAACCCTATGAAGGGTTTAGGTTATCGTTCAACTAACAGGCGACGAGCCACGCAATGATTCCCTCACGAGCGTCACGAAACACTGCCTGTGCCACGGCGAGTGAGAACCGCCAACGATTCATGTGACGCTCGCATATACGTGTACTCCATGCGCGACGCGACGCGAAGACGAGAGAGAAAGTAGAAGGAAGATATCAAAGATCGTTGTGCATTTCACAGTCGACTATAACACCACTAAGACACTACCGACGCGCAAACAGCGACGAGACTGACCACTTACCAATGAACTCTAAGGGCTATCGCACACAATTGACATAACTGCATATGCATAGCATAAGACCGTATGTACCAATGAGCATCGAGTATTAAGTCGCCATATTGGTGTTCGATGCTTAATATTCGATGCTCATTGGTCCATACGATCTTATGCTATACATATGCAGTTATGTCA